AGAGGTTTATATGCTGGGATCAGCTCCTATGGCCTTGTATGCTCCTGGGACATTGCAATAAACCTGATCCAGGATGTTAATGTGCCTGGTTGGAAAATTGATGAATCTGCAGAATCTGGGAAACACTGCTTTAAGTTCCACATGGTTAAAGTCACCAGCCACAATCACAGCCGCCTCTGGGTTTGCATTCATCTGCCTGCTGATCAGGCAGTACAGCTCCCCCAGCACTAATTTAACGTTAGCTCACGGTGGTATATAGACAGCTACAATCATGATTGAGCAAATCTCTCTCACCGTTTTAAAAGGTCTGCATTTCACTGCCAGATATTCCAAGTCGGGGGAGCAATGTGCTCCAGTGATGGTCGTTGCTGTGCACCAGAAGTTGTGGATGTACAGCGCCAGACCTCCACCTCTCTGTTTAGCAGATGATGCAGTTCTGTCTGCTTGAAACAAGGAGCGTCCCCTCCAGTTCCACCGCAGCGTCTGGGATGTTGTCATCCAACCAGCTTTCAGTTATAATCGCCACACAGCTGTCCATCCTCCGTGAGACGATCCGCAGCCGAATCTCGTCCATTTTGTTGGTTAGTGACCTGCTGTTTGTGAGGAAGAGACTAGGGAGTGCCAGCCTGTGGGGGGGGACATCCATCAGACTGTCCACACAGCATTTTTCATTCGCAAAAATCGGAGAAAGGTAGTTTGGTGTGAGTTGTCTGATATTTAACAGTTCTTCTCTGGTGAAAGTAACCCGGGATAGGTTGCAAAACACTGACAAAACAAGAAAAAACAACAAAAACAGGAGAGCACGCTTAACCGAGGCAGCCATAGTCGTCATCTTAATGTCTATAATAGGCTAAAATTACACCATCGAGGATCCAAACGCTGCTCAGAGGGAACCCAAAGAGGTTGGAGGAGGTTAGGGAGGACATGCAAAGTATTAAGAGAACATTTTATAAAGGGGGTGTGCAAACTTTTGCACCGGTTATGATCATTATTTTACTATAACTTTTTATACACTGACCATTGCTTTTATTTATGTTGATGAAGGAATATTTGCACTAGCTGAATGTGCATCAAACATTATGTTGATGAGAAAGACATTATTTGTTTTGTTCTTTTAGCCATTTCAAAGTAAAGGATGCAGTCATTTTCACCCAACTGTACTTCTCCAAATATGAACAGGTAACAGAAACAGAAGACTGTCTGGTACTACTGAGCACACAGTTGTTTTTGAAGCATGTGTAGTTTGTATTTGCTGTTTTTTACCACAGGTTGGATACATTGTACATATACATGCATTTCATGTGTAATCAGTAATTCCCACATCGTGTGCCGTTTGTCAGAGATCTGGACATCATTTTTGTTCTCCAAGGTGTTTCTGTATCTCCTCTGTGCACTGTTTGTACACCAGGGCTTCCAATGTGCGAGTGAACACGCGGCCGGTACAGACATGAGAGCAAGCCTCACTCAAGGTGCATGTGAGATGCTACATGCTAGGCTTTTGTTCTGTGCCACTGCGTATGCAACATGTACTGTCATGCCTCTAAATCTGATTGGCACAGGATCGGAAATCTGAGTGATTGGCCAGTTGCCCGTCAAGGTCAATCACGCTGAAAACCAGCCATTTCCGGTCTCCGCCAATCAGTGCATCATTTATTAAAAACTGTTGCCTGCCTATTTACAACACCTCCTTAGCAGCTGCCTCAAAACCTTGGCCTACACATGCTTCTGCTGGTGCCATGACCAAGTGTTCATGGCATTTGTGGAAGTGGTCACCACAGCTTTTCAGTCCAACAAATAGCACTCTTGGAAGAAGTTGTTCCCCGTTCTTAGAACTGGAGAGAAGCCCTCTTTAGTTCCAGCGACAAGATTCTGCCTGCTTTCAGCAGCTCCAGTTAGCAGCCGAGAGTGGACCTTGGGAGACAACTGAAGTTCCCTGGTCATGTCACACAAACAATACTCCACCTGGGTTTTATTGAGATTCCACCAAGCAGGTAGGTGTTCCTGTGGGACCTGACAGTGCCCTGGCAGGACAACATGGAGGAGGCTCATGAGAGGAAGCTCACCAGATACCAAGAGATGGTTGAGCTGTGCAGGAGTCATGGCTGGTGAGCTTGCTATGACCCAACTGAAATAGGCTACCGGGGTTTTGCAGGGGACTTGCTCTGTATGCTCTTGACTAGTCCCAGAATCACCGGAGCAGCAAAGAGGAGAGCAAAACTTTCCACCCCTAAAGCCACACAGAAAGCTACCAGGTGACCTTGGATAAAGAGGGCAGACGTGTGCCCTGTTGCTGCTGGGACTTGGTTGGGTTACCTGGGTGAGGGGGTCTGATGTTAAAAAACTCGAAACCCCCTGTGACCCCAGGAACATCACTGTGTCCTAGCACATCTGAGAGATGTATCTCATAACCACATTTTGGTACAGCTACCCTAGTCTTTACCTGTGGGTGTTTTTTGTTTGTATCAGAAAGAAAAATAAAACACGTGCTTAATTTTTTTTCTTCAAAAGCAAGTTGCTTACAATTTGCTGTTTCAAGAATTCCAGTTACAAGGTTAGATTCCTCAAATAGTTTTTCAATATTCACGGTTTTTCTTTCTCAGGCCTGTACCTCTGCTTTTGCTACCAAAGACCGTCTGCGTTCCCACATGATTAGGCATGAAGGCAAAGTGACTTGCAACATCTGTGGCAAAATGCTAAGCGCTGCCTACATCACAAGTCACCTCAAGACGCATGGCCAGGCCAGCTTCAGCAACCCCTGTAACAATAAAGGTAAGCTATGTCACCTTTCAGTTAAATTTCCTTACAACCTTGCCCACTCTTTCAGTTTAACACTTTAAAAGTGGTCAAGTTTAAATAAATAAAAACACCACAGAAACACATCTGTACACTTCCTCATTGTCCGTCATTTTGTCAGATAGTTGTAAAAACTCTCTAACAATCTATTATTACCCGCCAATTTAATGAGTTGAGAGTGCTGAAGGAACAGCTCTCCCAACTATTCTTTTCGCTCTGTCTTGTGCTGATTCAGTAGCCTCACACTCTTGAGCTCCAAATCTTTATTATTCTTCCATGTTTTTTTCGTGGCTAACTACTTCAGCATACTTTCAGCCAGAAAGACCATTCAGACATCAAAATGGTTAGCTACATTACATTATACATTCAGCTCATTTAGGACACGGTTGCTTGTATTCTCTGATATTTTTCATACTTTTCGAAATGTTCAACATTTTTCAGGTATTTTTTTCCCCAGTTGAGACGAATGGGCAGTATTCAAAATTCACACTTTTTCTCAAAATTTCATGCATCTTTCAACTCATTCATACTTTCAGATTGAAACTGCATTTAGAGTTGAAAAAATTAAGAAACATCATTATTACACATTCAACTTTTAAATCCCTGTCATACTTTTAAAACCATTCAACTTAGTTTGAACCTTGGTTAAAATGGGAGAAAAAAAGCCCAGAACATCATTATGGACACTTCACACCCAGGACATTCACTATTTGAACTGCTGCCGTCAGGTAGACTGTTCAAAGCAATCAAATCAAGGACCACTAGATACAAGAATAGTTTTTACCCAACAGCAGTTGCCACACTCGGTGCTGCTAAAATATAATATGCCTGTGTGTGTGAGGGGGGTTGTGAGAGGTCTGTTTATTTTTTTCTAGCGGTTACATTTTTTATATGGTCTTATTTCATATGTTATGTTTTTTTCTATTGCTCTACTGACTGGAGGTCACTAAAATTTTGTAGTATGTGTTACAATCCTGAGTGGTGATATCAGTTAGAATGTGGGAGGCTGAGAAACTTGCCTTTAAAAAAACTTGCCAGTACAGCCACAGTTTTCACTCTACAGCCATAATTTTTTTCCCCTTGGTTGTAGACAAACCTTTCTTTAGTCAGTGTGGTTATCTAAGCAGTCAGACCTACAGAAGATTCTAGTTGAGCCTCAGCAAAATTATTCAGCCCCTTTACTTTCAGTGCAGCAAACTCTCTCCAGAAGTTCAGTGAGGATCTCTGAATGATCCAATGTTGACCTAAATGACTAATGATGATAAATAGAATCCACCTGTGTGTAATCAAGTCTCCGTATAAATGCACCTGCACTGTGATAGTCTCAGAGGTCTGTTTAAAGCGCAGAGAGCATCATGAAGAACAAGGAACACACCAGGCAGGTCCGAGATACTGTTGTGGAGAAGTTTAAAGCCGGATTTGGATACAAAAAGATTTCCCAAGCTTTAAACATCCCAAGGAGCACTGTGCAAGCGATAATATTGAAATGGAAGGAGTATCAGACCACTGCAAATCTACCAAGACCTGGCCGTCCCTCTAAACTTTCAGCTCATACAAGGAGAAGACTGATCAGAGATGCAGCCAAGAGGCCCATGATCACTCTGGATGAACTGCAGAGATCTACAGCTGAGGTGGGAGACTCTGTCCATAGGACAACAATCAGTCGTATACTGCACAAATCTGGCCTTTATGGAAGAGTGGCAAGAAGAAAGCCATTTCTTAAAGATATCCATAAAAAGTGTCGTTTAAAGTTTGCCACAAGCCACCTGGGAGACGCACCAAACATGTGGAAGAAGGTGCTCTGGTCAGATGAAACCAAAATCGAACTTTTTGGCAACAATGCAAAACGTTATGTTTGGCGTAAAAGCAACACAGCTCATCACCCTGAACACACCATCCCCACTGTCAAACATGGTGGTGGCAGCATCGTGGTTTGGGCCTGCTTTTCTTCAGCAGGGACAGGGAAGATGGTTAAAATTGATGGGAAGATGGATGGAGCCAAATACAGGACCATTCTGGAAGGAAACCTGATGGAGTCTGCAAAAGACCTGAGACTGGGACGGAGATTTGTCTTCCAACAAGACAATGATCCAAAACATAAAGCAAAATCTACAATGGAATGGTTCACAAATAAACATATCCAGGTGTTAGAATGGCCAAGTCAAAGTCCAGACCTGAATCCAATCGAGAATCTGTGGAAAGAACTGAAAACTGCTGTTCACAAACGCTCTCCATCCAATCTCACTGAGCTCGAGCTGTTTTGCAAGGAGGAATGGGCAAAAATTTCCGTCTCTCGATGTGCAAAACTGATAGAGACATACCCCAAGCGACTTACAGCTGTAATCGCAGCAAAAGGTGGCGCTACAAAGTATTAACTTAAGGGGGCTGAATAATTTTGCATGCCCAATTTTTCAGTTTTTTTATTTGTTAAAAAAGTTTGACATATCCAATAAATTTCGTTCCACTTCATGATTGTGTCCCACTTGTTGTTGATTCTTCACAAAAAATTACAGTTTTATATCTTTATGTTTGAAGCCTGAAATGTGGCAAAAGGTCGCAAAGTTCAAGGGGGCCGAATACTTTCGCAAGGCACTGTAGAAGTGTCAAATAACCACTCTATTAACTCCAATATTTAATGAAGCCAGATTTTATTTAGAAGGATATTGAAATTATGGCTTTTGGAGAGACTTTCGGGTGGCGCAGGACCAAGATGGATACATAATTCGGAGCTTGTGGTGTCGGTTATTAAAAGTACCCTCTGGTGATGTAAAAACTGTCTATAATAGTGGAAATTACAACGTTGAAGGAGGAAAATGCCAAAAGGCTCGACAACTGACAAGAGAATGCCTAAACAATAGGAAAACGTCGACCAAACAGGAAAGGACATCGACAAAGATGCTAACTCTGCGCCAGACGCTAACATGGCTATACAATATGGTAAGCTGTTAGAGGGCCTGACGTTGCTTTAAAACGGACTACGTGACTTCAAAAAGGATATTAAGCACAAACTGGGTGACTTTAAAAACGAGGTGAGGACAGCTATGAAGGAGGACCTGAATGAGTTCAAAGAAGATGTATGACAGGAGCTGCAAAACCAGAGTGCTAACATTTCAGACACCCAAGCACCTATTGCAGACCTCGAGGCGGCGTGTCTTGAAATGAAAGATACATTGCTTACTACCATGAAACAAAACAGTGAAATGCGTGACAAGATTGTGGACCTAGAAAGTCGTGTATGGAGAAACAACCTACGAATCTACGGGGTACTGGAGGAGAAAGAGGGCAAATCTCTCCTAGACTTTGTCTCGGAACTGCTAAAAACACACATCAAACTACCGGACAGAGTTCAACTTCAAATTCAGCGCGCACACAGAGCATTGATTCCCAAACCTTCCCCTGCTGCGGCTCCGAGATCAATAATCGTTAATTTCCTCCAGTTCCAAATTAAAGAACTGGTGCTCAGGAAAGCATGGCAACAGAAGATCGAGCTAGATGGTAAATGTCTTTACTTTGATAATGACTATGCATCCGATATCATGGAAAAACGCAAGGCATACAGGCCAATAAAAGCAGCGCTGAAGGAGAAAGGTGTTAGATTTCAGACACCTTATACCAGAATGAGAGTGTTTTGGGAAACAGGATTACGAATCTATGACAGTGCAAATGAAGCAGCACAGGATTTGACCAAAAGAGGACTCCAAATCAAATGGATCAGGAGAGCGGACAGGATGAAAGCTGCTGAGGAGAGACTGGAGAGCCTAATGCCCTGGAAGCGGGTCAGGACCATGGACAGCACGGGGCAACGGGCGAGGGAGAAGCTCACAGAGTTTCGACGTAGCCACCAGTGACCCATACATGCTCTTATCAGGTGATAATGCAAGTTAAGCAGAACTGTATGATTACTAACAAGCATGCTTGGATATAGATAGTAGTTGCTCTTCAAAATGGTTCAATCTTCATTTATGTATATATTTCTATGGGTTGTTATTGGGCATATTTAAATATCCAATTGTAATAGAAAGAATGCTGACTGGAGTTTTTGTTTTGGAAGAAAGTACACACCAGATGTTGGACATTTCTAGTACAAGTGGATTGCCACTGGTTTGGAATTTATCCTATACTGGTGAGGGCCACCATCCTAGTGTGGTATTTTACCCTCTACCCACCAACAGGGACCAAAAGGGACTTTTGGAAATGTCCCCTCTTTTGGAAGTTTCATTGTTCTGTGTTCCTTTAAAGTTCAGTAATTTGTTTACGTTTGTTTTGGGGACATTTGTGTTTGATCACTATTGTGCTTTTTAGCAAAGGCAATAATAGAAAATAAGATCAGTGTCGCTGAATGTGAATGGGCTGAATAATCCTGTGAAACGGAAGAAAATAATAACTAAAATGCGTAAAGAAAATGCACACATTGTTTACTTACAAGAAACCCACCTATCCAGATTGGAAAATGAGAAACGTACTACTTACAAGAAACCCACCTATCCAGATCGGAAAATGAGAAACTTAAAGGACTTGGCTTTACAAAACTATTCTATGGCATATTTAGACATGGATGTAAAAGGGGAGTGACAGTACTCATACACAACTCTGTAAAATTTGAATGTTGTAAAGAAGTTAGTGATAAGGAAGGGAGATATGAAAATGGAAACAGTAACATTAGTTAATACTTATGCACCACCTAATAGTAAACATTTCTTTAGACATCTAACAAAATGCTAGCAGAAGCGTTTTAACGAACATTAATATGGGGCGGAGATTTTAGTATTCTGATGAACACTAATCTGGATACAACAAACAATAAGAAACACAATAATCCTATTACCATAAAATTTAAAACTACTCTTGCAGAATTGGGAATTGTAGATACATGGTGAGAACTAAACCCTCAAAAAAGGGACTACACGCATTAATCAGCACCAAATGATAATTATTCCCGGACTGACTATTTTTTTATGAACAAGATAGATCGATAC